GGAAGTAAGAATGGCCAGACTTCATCTCACCTATTTTGGTCATGTTGTCAGAAGGGACCATTCCCTGGAGAAGGATGTCATGCTTGGTAGGGTGGAAGGTCGACGAAAGAGGGGGAGGCCTTCAATGAGATGAATTGACACAGTGGGTGCGATGATGGGCTCAAGTATAGCAGGGATTGTGGGGCTGGCGTGGGATCAGGCAGTGTTTCGTTCTTCTCTCTGGCTTCCTGGCTTTTAATCCCCTTTCTCCTTAATCATTATCCAGCTACAATAGCAAAGTTCAAAAAGAAAGAAAGCAACAAATGGCTTGCAAGACATGGAAAAATTGGAACCCCCATACACTGAGGTACTCTGACATGGTACAACTACTTTAGGAAACAGTATGGTGTTTCCTTAAAAAGTTTATAATAGAAATACCATACGACTCAGCAATCCCACTACTAGGTATATATCCTAGAGAAATAAGAGCCACACTCATGTGTATTGCAGCATTATTCACTATAGCATAAAGATGGAAAGAACTTAAGAACCCATCTATAGATGAATGGATAAACAAACTATGATACATACTCACAATAGAATACTATGTGGTATTTAAAAAAATAAGGAGAAATCTGCAGAACTCCTCATAACATGGATTCACCTGTTGAGGTAAATAAATCATTCATAAAAGGACAAATACTATATGAGGCCACTGTTATAAAAAGTCAAGAAAAGATTTACACACAAAAAGAAACATTCTTTAATGGTTACCAGATGTGGGAGTGGAGGGGAGAGAAAATCACTAACTAGAGAGTTGTTGTTAGGTGCCATCAAGTCTGCTCCAACTCATCGCAATCCTGTGTACAGCAGAACAAAACACTGCCCAGTCCTGTGCCAGCCTCACAATCTTTGCTATACCTGAGCCCATCATTGCAGACACTGTTAATCCATCTCGTTAAGGGCCTTCCCCTTTTTTTGTTGACCTGCCATTTTACCAAGCATGATATCCTTCTCCTGGGAATGGTCCTTTCTGACAATATGACCAAAGTTTAAGTGAGATGAAGTCTGGACATTTTCGCTTCCAAGGAGCGTTTCGGCTGCACTTCTTCCAGGGCAGATTTGTTCATTCTTTTGGCAGTTTTCTTCTTCAACACCACAACTCAAAAGCATCAACTCTTTCACAAGTACTTGGTCTTCCTTATTCATTATCCAACTCTTAAATGCCTGAGGCAAGGGAAAGGCAATATACAATAAGAGGGAGGTCTCACAATATAACCAAGGCAAAGGAAGACACTGAGAGGTGCACAGGAGTCATAGACAACAAAGGTAAATACTATTACATACATAATCCTACAAGAACAGTAATAATAAGCAATAAACTGCAAGTGGATACATAGGCAGACGTGCAAGCTGAACAGATACAGGAAGGTGAATGGAACTATACCCATGACCGTGTGTAGGTTTGGCAGAGGATATCTCTATGTATTGTGTTTGGATATATTTGCTGCAAATATATCCATGTATAGAGCGTACAGCAAACAAAGTTATGAAAACTTCTTAGCCATAATCAAATACTTTGAGAAAATGAGGCACTGGGCTTAGTGGGTTAGGACCACTGTCTTGAGGGACATCTAGGTCAATTGGCATAACATATTTCACAAAGACATCCTGTTTTATCCTACTGTCTTAAGTAGCGACTAGATTCTTAAAAGCTAATGAATGGTCATCTAAGATAAAACCATTGGTTTCCCTCTATCTGGAATAAAAAAGAGTGAAGAAAATCAACAACTCAAGGAAACAGTCCAAAGGACTAATGTACCACATGAACACAGCCTCCACTAGCCTAAGACCCAAAAACCTGGAGGGTACCTACCTACCAGTACTGACTGCTCTGATTGGGACCACAGAAAGTTCTGGATAGAATGGGAGAAAAATATACCACAAAATTCAAAACCACAAAAAAGACCGGACTTACTGGTCTTATATAACTGGTGGAACTCCCAAGACTGGGGCCCATAGAAACCTTTCAGACCTGGAACTAAACTACACCCTGGGATCACTACTTCACAGCAAAACAGCAGACAAGCCAATACAGTGAACAATAACACTCATGAGAAACATACTTCTCAGAATAATCAACCATCTGAGATGAAAACGGTAGCGTTTGCCCTAAAACAAAGCTCAGAAGGCAGGAAGGAGCAAAAAAGAAAGACAAACGTAAACGAATTTAGGGAGGAATTGGGAAGAGTCCTGTTACTCTACGGGAATTGCATCTCGTAATTACGGAGCATAATGTGCATAAACTGTTGAATAGAAAACTAATTTGCTCTTTAAACTTTAACCCAAATCACAAATTTTAAAAAGAAAGAATAAAGGAATACTAGGATAAGAGAGTGGTACCGTATCTGAAATGGGAAGACTTTATAAAGTGTCATTTCATTTTAAATTAATTTATAGACTTAATGGAATTCCAATAAAATTTCTTTGCAATTTGCAAAAATGAATTAAAAGTTTATCTTGAAAAAATATGTTGGGTGAGAATTACTGAAGTGCTTTTTAAAAAATAGGTGAGAGTAGACTTTATCTAGTCATAAACAACAAAAACCCAAACTTACTACCATCGAGTCAAATCTGACTCATACTAAAGCAAATTATAAAGCTTTACTAACAAAGATGGTACGGTTCCTAGAATAAGAATAGGTGCATCAATAAAACAGAGTAAGTAGCCCTTATAGGAGTGTGTGTATAAATACAAAAGAATTCAGTATGTAACTACGATTTTTTTTTTTCCTGAAGTTTCCAAATAAGCCTAAAATCTCTGGGCACGATTGGATTATGAGTGACACCTAATTTTGAATATATTTGAACGTCTTTTTTTCTGACTCTAAAAGTTAGTGTTAACATAAAAAACTCAGGTAGTTAGGGGTGTGAGGAAAGAGATACTAGATATACTTTTTAAATTCTGATTAAGTCAGGCTTATGTAATTGAAAGCAAAATGTAGAGCTTCTTCGTAGCTGCCTTCAAAAACAGAAATGGAAAACTCATTAGTGGGGAGCAGGATGGAAGGAAGTTTGTGAGAAATTTGTCGGTGGAACTTTGAGATGTTAACTAATACAATAGCAGTTTAAAGAAAAAAAAACCCTAGTGAATACTAAGCGTAAGTTAAATGTAAAAACTTTTCCATGGAGGATCTCATTTATGTGGGTTAAGTCAATGGTACTCAAACTTTAGCAGGCATTAGAATCACTTAGAAGGTTTATGAAAAAACAGATTGCTGAGCCTTATTTCAGAATTTCTAATTCATTAGGTCTAGGTTGGTGCCTAACTGCATTTCTAGCATGACACCAAGGAATGCTGAAACTGCTGTGGCCAGGGACCACACTTTGTTACTTCACTATCTATATCTGGTTTAGTTACAGGATAAAAGTTAATGAGCTGTTAGCAATCTCACAACTAGCAGATAATATAAAGGTTGCTCTGGTAGCATAGTTTGATATTTCCCCCATAACTGTATTGATAGGGAGTAATTAATGGAAAAGGGACCATGGGCAGAATAAGGGGCAAGATCGTTAGTGATTAAGCTTAAGGGCATAGTTTTCCTCTGCCTGATTTGCCATTCTGTTGTCAGTGCCTCCTTAGCACAGTGTGTTAACACATTATAGATACTTGGTATATATGTAAATAGATCAGTGAAAGGCTTCCTTAAAACATAAAGCAGTTTAATATTTGAATATGCTGAAATTAAAACTTTATAGAACTAATTCACCAAAACCAAACTCACTGCCATCGAATCAATTCCAACTCATAGAGGTCCCCCATTGGGTTTCTGAGGCTGTAAATCTTTACAGTAGATTACCCCATCTTCATTCTGCAGAGTGGCTGGTGAGTTTGAACCACTGACCTTCTGGTTAGCAGTAAAATGCATTAGGCACTGCACCAGCAGAGCTCCTGTTATAGTACTAAAGATACCGTAAAAACAGTAACTTAGAAAACAAATTAGTAATGTTAATAATAACAAAGAACTTATATGCAAAATATATAAAGAGCACTTGAAAACATTAAAAAAAAAAAAAGACAAGAACCCCAACCCATTGCCACTGAGTCAATTCCAATTCATAGCCACCCTAGAGGACAGAATAGAACTATGCCATAGGGTTTCCAAGGCTGTAATTTTAATGAAAGCAGACTGCCACATTTTTCTCTCATGGAGTGGCTGGTGGGTTCAAACCACTGACCTTTTGATTAGCAGTGAGCACTTTAATCACTGTGCCACCAGGCCAACTTAGTAGGGCAATAGGTAAGGAATATAAACAGGCAGTTCACAAAAAGGAAACATTTGAATTGGCAGTAATCCTATCAAATATTACATGACCTCACTAATATTTTGGAAAAATACAAATTAAAATCACTGTGATACCATTATACACCCCTCAAACTGGCAAAATATAAAAGTCTGATAATACTGAGGATTGATTAGATTATGGAATAACTGCTGGTATATGCATAATTTCTTACAACCACTTTGGATAATTATTTGGCAGTATCTGGTTAACTAAATTGAAAGTGTGTATTCCCTCTATACCAGCTATCCATTCCCTTGGTATACAGCCTAAAGACAGTGAACTATGTTCACCAGGAAACTAGTTTACTGCAGCAGTGATTTAGGGAATTTGGAAACAATGTAGATGTTAATCAGTGTAAGGATTGGATAAATTGTGGTCTATTTGTACAATAGAATACTACAGAACTGTTAAAATGAGTGTCTTAGAGGTACTAACTAGCTAGAATTAAAAAATGTTGAGTGGACAAAAATTACAGAAGCATACATTTAAAACCAGACCACTTCAGGTTAGGTGACAGAATAGGCAGACAGGCTACACAGACCCTTTTCAACAAAGAAAAGATAAACCAATTGACACAGATACAGAAGATAATCCTGGAGCCCTGAGCTTTGAAAGGAAGGATACAGAGGTGGATTAAACACCAACTGGTAGAAGAACCTGAATGAAAATAGTGAGTAAGAAGACAAATGGACCTGCAGACTGTCAGCTATCCTGACAGCTTGGACAGCTTAAATATTTCCAAGTGGTGTTAGGACCTGAGAATTAACCTGGAAATCGGCCCTGCTCACCAAGGGCTGTATGGACTACTGCACAGGTAGCTGACGACTGAAAAGGGAAACAGCAAAAAAGGAGACACACTGAGCTGTGGACTTTTGGCTGTCCGTAGCGCACAGCAATTTTGAATGTTATAAGTGGTGGCCATTTTGGATATTTAAAGTGACAGCATTCTCGTTCAGATTCCAGGGACCTAAGAATAGGCACCACTTGCCAAAGACAGCATAGACATACAGGGGGCTGATGAAAGGAGGCAGGTGGTGAGTGCATAAGTGCTCCAACTAGCGAATAGAGGAACACAGTACCCTGCTTACTCAGATAGCATCCAAACAAAAAAGAGAAAACAAAAGTCTTGGGTGAAAGACTCCAACATACAATCACCAATTAAATATAAATACAAAAATGTCACAATATCTTGGAGACAGCAGACTATCACAGTCCACACAAGGAAGCAAGATAAAGCAGTAGAAACAAGGGACCAGGATACAGACCCAGAACACATCCCTGAGGAAGAAGCACTTGAACTCCCTGATAAGGAATTCAAAAGAATATTTAGGTGCCTTCAATGGATTGAGAGACAGATCAAGGAAAACACTGACAAAAATTGTGGAGAACACAGAGAAAACCCTAGAACAGTTTAGAAAGACAATACCAAAAGTCTACACACAGAAATCCAGAAAATTAATACTAACTTTCAGAAATAAATAACACATTGAAGAGGCAAAGGAGTAGAATATGAGTGGAAGACCGAATTAGTGAGATTGAAGACAAATACCTCAATGTCTTTGAAAGGGTTCAGTCAGAAAGAAGATCAAAACAAAATGGAGAAAGCCTAAGGTTTATGTGGGATACCATCAAAAAGAGTAACCTACATATAATTGGAATTCCAGAACAGGAAGAGACAAAACTACAGAGAAAATTGTAGAAAATGCGTTGGATGAGAGTTTTCCTGGTATGATGAAAGATAAGAATATATCCATTCAAGAAGTCCAATGAACCCCAAACAGGATAGACCCTAAAAGAAAATCACCAAGACATATCATCATCTAACTCATCAAAACCAAAGACGAAGAATCCTGAAAGCATCAATGGAAAAAGGAAGAGTTACTTACAAAGGGCAACCAATAAGACTAAGCTTTGATTTTTCACCAGAAACCATGCAGGCGAGAAGGCAATGGGGTGGTATATATAAAATGCTGAAAGAAGAAAAATTCCAACCAAGAATTAAGTATCCTGAAAAACTGTCCCTCAAATGTGATGGTGAAATTAGGAAATTTCCAGATAAGTAGAAATTAAAAGAATTTGTTAAAACCAGACCAACCTTACAAGAGATGCTAAAGGGTATCCTTTGGACAGAGAACCAACAACAGCAAACAACAACTGACCATTAACACACATGATGACATAACCCAGAAACAGACCCAGTTATGGAAGTATCCAAAATAAATAAGCCTACAAGGTTGGGCAATCAACTTCCATAGTGATACCACCTCAGAAACCCAAGAAGGGTCTCTATGAGTTGGGTCCAACTCAGCGGCACATAACAACAACAACAAGATTATAAACAGGGAACCAGAAACATCACTTAACAAATGAGGACAGCTACAAAAAAAAAAGGAAAAAATGTGTAGTTACAGAACTTCTAATTGGTGAGGAAGTCAAGACAATTGCAAGATAGAATGGACTGTTATAAACTTGGGAAGAAAATTACAAATCAGAAGGTAACTTCAAAGAAAAACGATAAGCCTTCACATCAAAATAAAAAAGAAGCAAGCACATATATTTACAAATACTAAAACAATAGCAATGAAGGAAATGATAACATGATTCATAAACAAAATGAGCTCAGCACAGAAAATTATATGGACCAAAGAAATCAGCAATACCACGAAAAAGCACATTACAAAATGACAGCAACAAATTCATTCTTCTTGATAATTACATTGAATGTCAGTGGATTAAATGCACCACTCGAGATGGAGAGTTGCAGAATGGATAAACAGACTAAAAATTGAAGGTTGGAGAAAGATGTATCAAGCAAGTGGCAACCATGAAAGAGCAGGAGTGGCAATATTAATTTCTGATCAAATCGACTTTAAGACAAAAACCACCGTAGAAACAAGGACATCATGTAATGATTAAAGGATTGATTGAACAAGAGGACATAACTATAGTAATTATCTTTGCACCCAGTGAAAGAGACCCAAAATACATAAATCAGACTTTAACAGAGTTGAAAAGACATATAGATCACTGCATAGTCATAGTAGGAGACTTTAATACACCACTTTCAATCAAAGATAGAACTGGAAAGAAACTCAACAAAGACTCAGAAGAACTAAACAATACAATTCACCATCTTGACCTTATAGACATCTACAGAGCACTTCATCCAACAAAACAGCACAATACACATTCTTTTCTGGTGCACATGAAACATTCCCCTAGATAAACCATATGTTAAGCCAGAAAGCAAGCTTTAATAAATAATATAAAACCAAAAACCAACCCAAAGCTCTTGAGTCAGTTTCAACTCATAGTGACCTCCATTGGCTTTCTAAGGTTGTAAATCTTTATGGAAATAGATTGACTCATTTTCCTTCCACAGAGCAACTGGTGGGTTTGAACCACCAACTTTCTGTTTCTAAATGCCTTACCCACTGTGCTACCATAGCTCCTTACATATAATATACTCTTTATAAAATTTACAATGATTTATGTAATGTAGCTTTGAAATAAAAATAGGCAAAATTCATGAGCAAGATAAGTTAGCAGTAATCTTGATGGTGAGGAGGCAAGTTTTGTCTCTATCCAGGTAATTTTTTCTCATACCTTAGACTTGATAAAGCTGTACAATGAGTAAAAGATACTTGTTTGTATCACTTTTATACTTTATGGTTTGTAATATGTAATAATTTTTTAAAAATATGTTATTTATTCATCTTATATTTATCCATTGTAGGAATTAGAAGATGAGCAGGCTCTCAGAAGTCTAAGTAGCAGGCTAGAAGATCATTTTCTTTGAGCTTGAGTTTATTTCCAGGTTACTTTTCTCAAAGGAAAGAGCCCTGGTGGTGCAGTGGTTAAGCACTTGACTGCTAACCAAAAGGTCAGCAGTTTGAACCCACCGGCTGCTCTGTAGGAGAAAGATAAGGCAGTCTGCTTCTCTGAAGATTTACAATCTTAGAAGCCCTATGGAGCAGTTTTACTGTGTCCTGCAGGGTGATTATGAGTCAGAATCAACTCAATGACAGTGGCATTTCTCAAAGGAAATTTGTCTCCTGTAAACAGAAATAATAGATTGCAAAAATGCCCTCCACTGGCTCTAATAGTTGAATAATCATCAAATGCCCTTTAATGCCTTTCCATAATCAAAAGGTACTTAATTTGTAATTTCAGGTGGTTCCCCTATCTCAGAGAAGTGGTGTTCTTGAGTGGTGCACAGGAACTGTCCCCATTGGTGAATTTCTTGTTAATAATGAAGATGGAGCTCATAAAAGATACAGGCCAGAGGATTTCAGTGCATATCAGTGCCAAAAGAAAATGATGGTAAGTGGCACTCAAAAGTTACTGCAAGATTATTGAGTTGCTTATTACAGTTTATACTTCTCAAGTATTATATAATACAAAAAGTTTTAATTTCATGAGGCCTAGAGATACTATATAAAAGAAAGTAAACTCACCAGAATGGAAAATGTAAGTGAAGAACAAAGGTTATTATTAAACTACTTAAAGTTTATTAACCTTGTCAGATGAGAAATTCAGTTAAATTCTGTTCAGTGTATGCCAATTTGTTTCCTGTTTGGGATAAGCTAATTTTTAACAAAATGAAACATTAACTAAAACAAAAAATAGATTATGAAGTAATTTTAAAAGATTTGCCATATCACATTGGCCATCTCGTCTGACATTCATCCTCCCAGGTAGCAACATTGATCGAATGCCTGCTGTCTACTAGGTACTGTGCTGAGACTTCACAAATATGTGACGAATCATCACTACAATTATTCCCGTAATAATAATAATAATAATTAAAAAAACGACTTGCTTAAGATAGTCAGCCAATCAGTGGTGGAGTGAGGATTTGAACTTTATCCAACTACAAACTTCATTTACTTTTCCTTTTATTGTTCTTTATTTTCCTTTTTTTAATTTATTTTTTAAATGTCTGATAAAGTATTACAGGCATTGTGATAGAAGGCTCTACTGGGTATTGAGGCTACAGTATAGACAACAGGAGGAAGTGGTTAGTTTTTTCTGAGTCAAGGTTGAGAGAGAATTAGAGTCAAGAAAGTTTTCATAGAGGAGATGGTGTTTAGCTCAGTTTTGTGAATAAGTTGTTGCCACAAACAAGGGAAAGAGACATGAACAAATAGTGTAAGAAACATGGGCTGAGTATTTGAGGAAGAGTAGATAGATGTGGTTGGAACAGTATCATTGGTCTGAAAATGGAGGGTTGCTTTATGAAATAGTAAGAAGTTTGGACTTTATCCTGTAGGTAATAGAGAACCATGGAGGAAGAAAGTAATATCAAATTTACATTTTAGATATGTAACTGATAATACTGTGGGTTATGTTTTTTTAAGAATGACAACTAGAGGCGTAAGGCAAAAGTTCTGAACCAAGTCTATGGAGAATAGTGGGATGTTGTTTTGTGCTGTCAAGTTGATTCTGACTCATAGTGATCCTATATGACAGAGAGGAACTATCCCATAGAGTTTCCAAACTATAATCTTTACCAGAGCTAGATTACCAGGTCTTTTCTCTCGAGGAGTGGCTGGTGGGTGTAATGGGTTAACATGAGAAATGTAATAAGGCAGAACTGATGGATTTTGGTTACTGATTAGAAGTGGAGTTGGGGGAAAGGAGTACTTAGTGCCTCCCAGTTTTCTGGTTGGAGTAACTGGGTAGATGATGTGGCTATTTACAGAGTGTAGTAGTGGATGTGGCTGAGGTTTGCCAAGGAGGATGAGGTGGATTAATTTTGATTTGAAGGTGATCCATGTGAAGATTTTGAGTAGACAAAGAAGCATATCAAACTCAAGCTTGGATAATACCTGGGCCAGAGAATCAGGTTTGGAAGTCATCAGCATATAGATGGAAGTTGAGCCCATTGAAGTAGAAAAACCTTGCCTAAGGAAAGTGTATGTAGTGAGAAGATGTTGGAAAACTAAGATCTGGAAGTGTCACCTGCTTTGTGATTCTTCTGCCTCCTTTGCTCTGTTTCCCATCACATCCCTAATCCTGTGATACCATCTGAGATTACCTGGCATTTCTGTGTTTACTTCTACCTATATTACAAGATCATTGAAGTCAGAATTTAAAACGAATAATGGTCATTGTTGGTGTGCCTCCTCACCCTGAAATTAATATGAAAATCTAAAGGGAATAATACTTGTAAGTAATGGCTATCCTGACCAGACTGTTAGCTTCTTGTGGAGAGAGGCTATATCTTGTTCATCTTTTTCTCCCCCCTATATCTATCATAATATTTTCATATAGAAATGTTATTAGTTGAATTAATTGACATGTAGTGGGAAAATAATTTTCTATGGTCTGTTTAAAGGATGTGCAAAAGAAGTCTTTTGAAGAGAAATACGAAACCTTCATGGGTATCTGCCAAAATTTTCAGCCAGTTTTCCGTTACTTCTGCATGGAAAAATTCTTGGACCCAGCTGTTTGGTTTGAGAAACGACTGGCTTATACTCGCAGTGTGGCTACTTCTTCTATTGGTAATCTTGTACAATTTTGCAAACTCAGTGCTTTCCTACTTTCTGATTGTAGAGCAGTGGTGCGTGGTTATTAACCAAACCATCTTTATCATTTGGGGATTGTATTTCTTGCTCATTCTGATTTCTTGGTTCTAAAGTTGGCTTTCATAGGAGAGAATTCTCCTACTCTGAGATAGGGAAATAGGGCTTCCTTAGTTCATAGCAACTGTGGCTTATTTTCTCTTCCCTCAGTGTGTTATTTCCTGAGATTTTCTTTGGAAAATAATAAAACCTGTGATAATTTCATTTTACTTATTTCCTTACATTATTTTCTTTTCATAGAACCTCTAAAATACCATACTATTATTAAACATTGATTCTTTTTAATAGATTTTTTTTGGAGAGTAGAATGAATGATACGTATTTAAATATTGAATGAAAAACCAAAAACCAAACTCACTGCCATTGAGTCGGATCTGAGTCATAGTGACCCCTCCTTGGGTTTCTGAGGCAGTATCACTATGGAAGTAGATTGCCCAAACCTTCCTTCCGAGAAGTAGCTGGTGGGTTTGAACCGCCAGCCTTCTGGTTAGCAGTCAAATGCCTTAGGCACTACACCACCAGAGCTCCATAAATATTGAATGTACAACATATATTTTGACTTTTTTTATATATAATTTTAAAGAGATTAGATAGCTAGATAAGGTAACTAACAAAATTAGAACTAATGGGAATATCAGAGATCATCTAACATACAAGTTTTTAAATAAAGGACTCCTTCCATCACTGTGTACCATAACCCAGTGAGGCATGTATATTTTGAAAAAGTTCCCAGGTTATTGTGCAGCAGTGTTCTATACTGAGATTAGCTAATATGATTCAACTAACTTATTTATAAATTAGAAAGTAGCCCTCGTTAATGACAGAGCTAGTCAGGAACTCAAATATCCTAACTTCCCTATCCACTGTTTTTTCTATAACATCAGTATAACTCGTGAAGCAGAAGAAAGTTTCACTGAAGAATGAAGAATTTACATGCTACATTCAATAAGTATTTGAGAACATATAATGTGCTACTTTAGTCCTGGTAAATAATAAGTCTCAGCTTTAACTATATTAATTTTTGAAGTATTGGTATTTTAAAATGTATGCCAATCAATAAAGGGAAAATATTTTGTAGCAAACCATCTAGGATTTGAAAATAGCTAGAAAGATTTGACTTAAGCCCAAAATGGCCAGTTATGTACATAATATCCTAATAACTATACTAAAATGTCTAAACTAAAAAATTATATATAGTTGGTGGTATTAGTTGAAATTATGGCTAAATATATTATAAAACTAGATGAAATCAGTGATTTTATGTTGGTGTTGTTTTCCAGTTGGTTATATACTTGGACTTGGTGATAGACATGTACAGAATATCTTGATAAATGAACAGTCAGCAGAACTTGTACATATAGATTTAGGTAAGTAATGAAAAGGGTATTTTGATTGCCAAGAAGTGTTGATTGACTGTTACAAGTATGAAGGAGACAGACATATCAAAGCAAGAAATACTGTTTTAAAAAAGGCATAAGCACAGTGATGCTGGAAGGAATAGGTAACTCTGGGCCAGTGAAACTTGCTTGAAGTGGTGGCATTTGAGTCAAGTTTTAAAGAAAAAAGATAATCTAGACAAAAAGTAGAGAAAATTTGAGAGAAGGAATAATGAAGGTGTAGCATGTGGAGGGAATGGTAAGACATTAAATGGCTAAAGTGATGTTTGCTTGCAGTTGATTAGGCTGAGAAATTGGTTGGTGCTAGACTATAAAAAGCCAGGCTAAGGAATTTAGACTTTAATAGGTTAAACAATGGGAAGTAAATGAAGATACATTTAAGCAGGATATGATCATATTTTATTTTTGGAAAGATAATTTCAGGAACAATTTAGGGAGCCGTATTGGCAGCAGGAAGCAAGTTAGGGAAAATAATAATAGTGTAGATGAGAGATGAGGAAGATTTGGACAAAAGTTGTAAAGAACAAAAGATTAGATTTGGCAGATAATTTTGTAATAGACATACCGGTGATGTAAGATATGGAGACAGTGGGGGAAAGAACTCCCCCACTGATAACTAAAGTTGTTTGTAACAGGATTTTCAGGTGGAGTAGGCAGTTTAATATATAGGAGTACAAAGAGGATTAGCATAGTATAGAGAATTAGAACCTTCAGACACATTTTGGTTGAAGTCATGGGGTTGGAGGAGATTCTCATCTTACATATCATCCTTGGTAAAGAAGACTAAGGATATAATTGGTAGATTACTTACATATTGGCTGTCAAACCTCCTAATCTCACTGTAATTTTTACTTTAGGGGTTGCTTTTGAACAGGGTAAAATTCTTCCTACTCCTGAAACAGTTCCTTTTAGACTCACCAGAGATATTGTGGATGGGATGGGAATCACTGGTGTTGAAGGTGTCTTCAGAAGGTAAGTGATGTAAGGGAGGGCAGAGGGTTTTTGGTGTCAAAATTATTTGTATCATAGCTTTCTATACATTGTGGGATTCAATGCTAGGATTACATTCTAGTGAAGAAAAAAGACCCTGGGTAAAAGCACTAGCATGTTCCCCTTCTTTCACGCCACTTTAGGAGTAACCCAATATCACATACATGCTCTAATTCTAGAAGCAGCATCCATTTACATTTAAAGCCTGTGTCCTAGCTGACTCTTTTTACTAATTGAACTACTAATATTGGTTCTCACTGTTAGGAATATCGAAGATTACGTTTTTGTCTTGAGATTATATTACAGGTTCTTGCTGAAGAGTTTTGCAGTTCCCTATAGTTTTCAGAATTACCAGACAATATCATTAATAGCATATATAAGTAAAATTTTGCTAAAGGTAATTAAAAAACAGTTGCAGCAGTATATTGACAGGGAACTGCCAGAAATTCAAGCTGGATTCAGAAGAGGGGTTGGAAGAAGAAACATGGAACGAGGCCTGTTATTGCTTATGTCACATGGATCCTGGATGAAAGCAGAGAAATCCAGGAAGACATTTACCTGTGTACTTTTGACTATGCAGAGGCATTTGACTGTGTGGATCATAACAAATTACAGATAGAATTGCAAAGAATGGGAATTCCAGAACACTTAATTATGCTCCTGAGGATCCTGGACATAGACTGAGATCTTGGCAGTTATTCAAACAGAACAAGGGGATACTGCAAGGTTTAAAATCAGAAAAAGTGTGCATCAAACTTGTGTCCTTTTACCATAATTATTCAATCTATGCTGCAAATAACCTGAGAAGCTGGACTATATGAAGAAGAATGCGGCATCAGGATTAGAGGCAGACTCACTAACAACCTGCCATATGCAGATCACACAAACTTGCTTGCTGAAAGTGAAAATGATTTGAAGCACTTACTCATGAATGTGGATTACAGTATGGATTATAGCTCAACATAAAGAAATAAAAAATCCAACAAATGGACCAGTAAGCAACATCACAATAAATGGAGAAAAGATTGAGGTTATCAGGGATTTTGTTTTACTTGGATCCATAATCAATTCCCATGAAAGCCACAGTCAAGAAATTAGACGACATATTGCACTGGGCATATCTGCTGCAAAAGCTCTTTTTAAAGCAAAGATACCACTTTGAAGACTAAGATGCACCTGACTCCAAGCCATGGTATTTTCAATAGTGTTTTAGGTTAGGTTCTCTAGAGAAGCAAAACTCGTAAAGCTTATATATAGAGAAAGAGAAATGTATCTCAAGGAAATGGCTCACACAGTACAGAGGCTGGCAAGTCCCAAGTTCCTGGGGCAGATGTCAAGCTGAGGCTTTTCCTGACTCATGCAAATGCAGGAGCTGACAAACCCAAGATCAGCAGGCGTAATGGCAGATTGTGGGTTCACAGGACAGTTGTAGAGACTGGCAAGTCCCAAGTTCATGGGTCAGATGTCAAGCTAGAGGCTTTTCCTGACACAAGCAGCTGCAGGGGCTGATGAATCTAAGATTGCAGGTAGTTTGGCAGGATCCAGATCCCACTGAAGTTCCTGAACTTTCCCGGGTCATCCATATACATATGTTGGAAACAGGCCACACCCCTAAAGAAACTCCTTTCAACTGATTGGCTGCTTAAAGCATATCCCACCATGGAGGTGACTACCTTACATCAGATCTCATCATGGGTACGACTGCACCATAACTGCTTAAACCACTCAGAATAATGGTACAGCCAAGTTGACACACAACCTTAATTATCACAGATAGTCTCATATGCATGTGAAGGCTGGACAGTGAATAAGGAAGACCAAAGAATTGATGCATTTGAATTGTGATGTTGGCAAAGAATACTGAAAATACCATGGATTGTCAGAAGAATGAACACATCTGTCTTGGAAAAAGTACAGTTGGAATGTTCCTTAGAAGTGAGAATGGAGACATCCAGTAAGATGGAGGAATAGGCAGACAAGCAACACAGACCCTCTTCAACAAAGAAAGAAAAACCATTGACAAGAGATACAGAAGATAATCCTGGAGCCCTGAGCTTTGAAAGGAACTATACAGAAGTGGATTAGGCACCAAGTAGTGGGAAAACCTGAATGAAAACAGTGAATACAGAGACAGTCAGACCTGTGGACTGTCAGCTACTCTGATAGGACCAACAGCCTGAATATTTCCAAGTGGTGCTGGGACCTCAGAAGATCAGCCCTGGTCACCAAGGGCTGCACGGATGACTACAATGGTGGCCTATGACTAGGAAAGGAAACAGCAAGGAGAGGGAGACAGTCTGAGCTGTTGACTTTCCACTATCCAGAGGGCACAGCCATTTTGCATATTTATAAGCAGCGGCCATTTTGGATATTTAAAGTGACTGAGAGGGCAACCATTTTGAATGTTTACTAGTGGCAACCATTTTGGATTTTAAAGTGATAATTCTCATTCGGATTCCAGGGACTAAGAATAGGTTCTGTGTGCCATGGTTGGCAGGGACATATCAAAGGCTTATAACAGGAAAGAGACAGGTGGTAAGTATATAAAAGCTGTCAACTAGCGAATAGAGGAGCGCAATACCCTGCTTGTATAGATAACACACAAATAAACCAAAGAAAATGAAAATTGTGGGCAAGTCATTCCAACATACAGTCACCAATTCAATATAAATACAAAAACATCACAATGCCTCGGAGAAAACAGAGCATCACAGTTCACACAAAGAAAAAAGACAAAGCAGGAGAAACAAGGGACCAGGATACAGACCCAAAACACATCCCTGAGAAAGATGCAGCATTGGAACTCCCTGATAAGAAATTCAAAAGAATTATATTTAGGTATTTTCAATGAATTCAGGGACAGATCAAGGAAAACACAGAGAAAACCCTAGAATAATTTCGAAAGACAATATAAAAACAAAATGACAAAATAAATGAGAAATGATACAAAATCTACCCATAGAAATCCAGAAGATTAATACTAAATTTTCAGAAATAGATATTGAATGGGCAAAGGAGCAGAATTGAATCAATGGAGGACAGAATTAGGGAGATTGAAGGCAAATACCTGATCATTTCTTTGGAAACGGATAAAACAGAAAAAACATCAAAACAAAATGAAGAAAACCTAAGGTTCATGTGGGATACCATCAAAAGGAATAACCTATGTGTAATTGGAATTCCAGAATAGGAAGAGACAAATAAAACTACAGAGAAAATTGTTGAAGATTTGTTGGAAGAGAATTTTCCTGATATGATGAAAAATGAGAATATATCCATTCAGGAAGTCCAGTGAACCCCAAACAAGATAGACCCCAAAAGAAAAACACCAATACATCATCAAACTTAGTAAACCCAAAGACAAAGAGAGAATCCTAAGAGCAGCATGGGAAAAACGAAAAGTTATCTACAAGGGGCAACCAATAAGACAGAGCTCAGATTTCTTGACAGAAACCATGCGAATGAGAAGACAACGGGAAGGTATATATAAAACTCTGAAAGAGAAAAATTTCCAACCAAGAATTATGTACCCAGCAAAATTATCCCTCAAATATGATAGTGAAATTAGGACATTTCCAGATAAGCAGAAATAAAGGGAATTTGTTAAAACCAGACCTTACAAGAGAGGTAAAGGGAGCCCTTTAGACAGAGAAGCAACAACAGCCAATGACGACTAACCATCAACACACATGATGATATAACCCAGAAACGAACCCAGCTATGGAAGTATACAAAGTAAATAAGCCTACAAGATTGTAAACAGGGAACCAGAGACGTCAATTGACAAATGAGGACAACTACAAACCAAAAAGAGGGAAAAAACTGTGTAGTTACAGAACTTCTAGATGGTAGAGAAGTTATGACAACTACAAAGTAGAATGGACTGTTCTAAACTTGGAAAGAAAACTATAAATCACAGGGTAACCTCAAAGAAAATTGTTAAACCTTCACATCAAAATGAAAAAGAGGACCAGCATTAAATATTCAGCAAATACTAAAACAATAGCAATGAAAGAAGTGATAACACGATTCATAAACAAAACAAGCTCAGCATAGAAAATTATATGGATCAAAGAAATCAACACCATGAAAAAGCACATAACAAAAATGACAGCAACAAATTCATATTTGTCGATAATTACGTATCTGGCAAGGGACTTATCTCTAAGATTTATAGCAAAAGAGTGGATGACCAGACTATGGTACATACACATAATGGAACAGATATATATGTGCACACCCATGTTTATTGCAGCACTATTTGCAATAGCAAAAAGATGGAAACAACCTATGTGCCCATCAGCGAAAGAGTAGATGACTAAACTATGGTACATACACAAAATGGAATGTTATGTGGCACTAAAGAATAATGTAGAGTCTGCAAAACACTGCATAATATGGATGAACTTGGAGGACATTATGCTGAGTGAAATAAGTCAATCATAGAAGGACAAACACAGTATTAGTTCATTGTTGTGGAGGATCAAGGAAAGGTTTATATATGGAGGGGAACTTTCTTTGTTGGTTGCCAGGGGTGGGAGGAGAGGGAAGGGAACACTGCAGGGAAAAAAAAGGGGGGGGGCATTGACCCATGTCACTTTAGTTTTGTGTATTTCACTGTACATACATTATATTTCAATAAAATGCATTAAAAAAAAAAAAAAAGTTGAGAATGGCCAAACTCTGTCTCGCATATTTTGGTCACGTTGTCAGAAGAGACCAGTCCCTGGAGAGAAGGATATGCTTGGTAAAGTAGAAGGTCAGCAAAATAGGGGCAGAACCCTCAAAGAGATGGATTGATACAATGGCTGCAACGATGGGCTCAAGCAAAGCAAAGATTTGGAGGATGGTGCAGGACCAGGCAGTGTTTTGTTCTGTTATACACAGGGTCACTATGAGCCAGAACCAGCTCGACAGCATCTAACAACAACATAGTTAACATAAGTCAATGCACTCTACTTTGGTTAGGACAGATTTCAAGCTAATAATTGCCACAGTAATCAAAGACTCAAACTATACTATTTTATAGTATATTGTATTTTATAGTATAGTATGTGTTTTATAGTATAGTATTTTATAGGAGCTTTGGTAGCATAGTGCCTAAGGTATCTGACTGCTAACCAGAAGGCTGGCAGTTCAAACCCACCAGCCACTCCCTGGAAGGAAGGTTGAGCAATCTACTTCCATAGTGATACTGCCTCAGAAACCCAAGGAGGGGTCGCTATGAGTGAGATGGTCCGACTGGACAGCCGTGTGTGCATTGCATTGTTTTAGTAGTGTTTATCTTTACGATGCTAAGCTTACATATTTGCATTAATTTCAGGAACATCTCTTGAAAGTCCACTTTGCCAAGTACTTGCTCTTTGAGATGTATATTTGGGAGCTCTGGTAGCATAGTGCCTAAAGCACTTAACTGCTAACCAGCCACTCCTTGGAAGGAAGATGGGGCAATCTACTTCCGTAGTGATACTGCCTCAGAAACCCAAGGAGGGGTCGCTATGAGTCAGGTCCGACCTGACGGCACATAACAACAACAAGAATAGTCTCAGCATACTACACATGAGTATATATAGGTAAAAATAAGTTGAAAATGTTGTGCGATAAAATCCATAACTATAATGTGTCTGATTCTATAGATGCTGTGAGAAGACTATGCAGGTCATGAGAAACTCTCAAGAAACCCTGTTAACCATTGTAGAGGTAACTGTGTATTATAAGGAAATCTTCATTTCCCTAGCTGGCAGAGCGTGTATCTTGAGAAGGTCACTGATTGGTGGATCACTCCTTCACTTTAATAAGGTGGGATGATGCCAGTCAGCAGGAGAGAGGAGGTTGTAACTAAGCATTCTCACACATCTATAAGTATCAGTTTAGAAATGCCTCCAGTCCCCTTACATTTCTTGGAATGTATTATAAGTAATCTCTTTCTTTAATATATAAATCAGCCCTTTGACTTCATAGATATCCATTATGGCATTATTATTTTCCTAATGGTTTCCATTGGGTTTTAAAAAAGATCTCTAATTTTTTTTTTTCCTTGTCCAGGTGTAGAACTAATTAGACAGGTAGAGATTGGAGGAACATAGTGAGAACCAAACTGGCTGGATGTTGCAGGTGCTCCCTCAGTGCCTGCCTGGTGTTTTAACCTTGGAGCAGCCCATCTGAGTGGGGGTTAGGGCCTGCAGAGCATACATAATCAAGATCACTGCCTCATGCTGATCCAGGGCAGAAAGGGAATAAAGACAAATTTCCAGTGCTTATGACCTTAGCTCTGTCCAAGCAAGAATTGTGTGCCTATGGCAGTCATTCACCAACCTGGCAGGAGGTGTGTAGGGCAAGAGAACAGGAGTGTTTCCTCCATAAAAAATCATAGGAAGTAGCATATGAGCATGCCTCCCTTACATTCTTCAAGGTTTTTTGTTTTTTTTTTCCTTTAGTCTGGTGGTTCTGGACCTGGCTGTACATTAGAATCATCTGTACTACTTTTTTAAAATATTGTTGCTGGCCAAATTCAAACCACATTTTTAGGGATCAGGAAGGAACATTTGTGTTTTTAAAAATCTCTCCTGTGGTGCATCCAGGGTTGAGATTTGAATGATGCTATAACAGCCAGGGTTGAGAATCACTATCTTAATTCATTGGCATTAACCATTAAGCCTGTGAGTTGTGGCACAGAGGGGGATACAGCCCTTGGGAGAATGTTAATAGTCTGTTAGAGTAGTCCTGTGTCCATCTTTATAAACCAGAGCCTCTTTATAGCTCTTCTTTGGACTTCTGGTGGTAATACGGATTTTGCTACAAGGCAGCTCTGCAGTATGTTGGAAAAATTATATCTAAGGCTGAAAATTCATTCCATTTTCTAGTTCTCATTTCAAATTATGTTTCTACATGTTATCATTACAGTTGCCAGTATTCCTGGGTAAGAATAACATGGATGCCTTGATAATAGAGAAACAAAAGTTCAAAATCACATTATCTTTTTTCCTTTTCATTTAAGACAAAAAAGTCCTAACTTTTCAAATTGATTTAAAGTCTAAAGAATTGTAATGCATCTCCCAGTGTTTTATTCTGCACAGTCTTGCCAGAAGGGTTTTTTATGCCCAGGTAGATTTGGTGATTGTTTGAGGACCTCAAAAGTTTTAATAGTTCTATGCCAGATTGTTTATATAAGCCTCATTCTTTAGAATGAGAGAAGATCAAGTTAGACAAGTAGCAGTAACCAGACCATATTGTGATGCCTACACCATTTTAAGGACTATGGATTTTACCCTGAGTAAGATGGAAACTATTGAAGATATTGAAAGGTTTTGAGCAGAGAAGTGACTTTTATCTCTACCTACAATAACTGTGTCACTTATAAACTTCTCTAATTCTTTGTGTATTTTACACTGATCTGTTTTCCCCTCTGTAAATCTTTCCAAATTTCCTGGAGTCACTTCTTATGGTTGTCCTGATCTTCAGGAGTGGTTTTGTAATTGACCTTACTGTGAATTCTGTCTTCAGCTTTAAGAGAGTGCTTCTCAGTAGTACCCTGGGTTCCTTTAGAATGTCATCCAGTCTCCTTTCTTGGATTCATTTCTTTTTCTCTGGTAGATTTCACTGAGCAGCAGTCACTGTTTCTGATCTGCTAATAGTTAAAACATCTCCCCACTTCCTAAGTGGGTACATCTTTCCTCTCATTGTGTTTGTCTCTCCTGGCCTTCAAGATCTCATTTTCTTCTTCATAGTGGACCATGCTGCCCTCCAAGATCTCACCCATTCTACTAAGGAAATCTTTCTTTTCTTCTACCTAAGTGGTTCTTAACTAAGGGCAGTTTTAAGGACTTTGGATTTTACCCTGAGTGAGATGGAAACTATTGAAGATATTGAAAGGTTTTGAGCAGAGAAGTGACTGTCTCCCAGTTCTCCCTTGGAGAAGATTTGGCAAGGTCTGAAAATGTTTTGAATGCCACAGCTGGAGGTGTGGGGGGTTATGTACTACTGGCATCCACTGGGTAGTGGCCATGTTGCTACTAAACATCTCACAATGCACAGGACAGCCCTCTGCAACAATGAAGTATCCAATCCAAAAATGTCAAATAGTACTGAGGTTGAGAAAACCGTACACTAGCTTTATCAGTCTGTATCCCTTTATTGTTTTCATTCAACCACTTCTGTTCTTATAGTAAATAGGGCTAACACATATTTTTCAAATTGCTCCAGTTCCTCCTTAATTCCAGTATTTGCAAATATGATTTTTGACACAAGCCTTTGGGTTTGAAATAATTTGTATTGTTTCTCTACCTCAACCCATGAAAATCATATAATCTCTTTATAATGGAGTCCTCTATTCCTTTTTATTAATTTATTAATAAAATATACCTTCCTTTTCTGGGTGAAACTGATTTGGGTTTCTGAACTCTTAAAGCCATGTCAGTGCCTGATTTGAGATCACTGACAACCACATGAATTTAAGGTTAGTTAGTCCCTTCAGGTTTTTGTTTGTTTTGCTTTCATTTTTACTGTGATTTGGGTGAATGTTTACAGAGTAAATTTTCCATACAGTAGTTTATACACATTTTGTTTCATGACATTGACTGCACTTCCTCACAGTGTAACAGCTTTCTTCCCACTTCCTCCCTGTAGTTACCTCTTCCCTGTGTCCTTCTTTCCTGTGCAATCCTGTACCCTGAGCTATCTTCCAGTGCAAATACTGCCCTTCTGTCCTCCCATGATTGATTGTTCTAAGGAGTGTGTCTACCTCATGTAAATGTTCATTCACCCTATATGCCTGTCTGTTGTTAGGCTGGAAGCCATGGGAGTGAGTTCAGTTCCAGACATGAAGGGTAACTAGGGACTATAGTCTCGGGAGTCTCACTAGGCTCTATCAGACCAGCAGACCTGGTCTTTTTTATGAGTTTGAGTCTTGTTCCACATTGTTCTCCCACTCTATCCAGGATCTCCTGCATCAATCCCTTTCCGAGTGGTTGACACTGGTAACTGGGTACTGTCTAGTTCTTCTAGTCTCATGGTCATATAGGCTGAGGTTCACGTGGTTCAATAGTCTCTTGGACTAATTGTTTCCATGCGTCTTTGGTTTTCTTTATTCTTCTTTGCTTGGATGAGGTGAGACCAATTGTTGCATCTAGATGGCCACTCACAAGCTTTTAAGACCCTAGTCACTACTCACCAAAGTAGGATGTATTATGTTTTTGTGTATTATGTTATGCCAATTGAGTTTGATGTCCCCTGGGACCATGGTCCCGAGCCCACAGGTCCAGCAGCTCTCTCCATCAGGGTGGTTGACTGTGCCTAAGAAATTATCATAACTTTGCCCCTATTAGTTCTGGTTATATGGACATCCTTACAGCACATAACAAATATGTATATAGAAATATCTGCCAACCTTATATATATATATATATATATATATATATATGGTCATGGGTATATGCCCTTTTGCCTAGACATACTTGATCATCCATCCTGTCTACCCATCTATTTACCTGTAGATTAATGTTTATTATCACTGATAACACAGTATTGTATATAAAAGGGTTTTCTTTGTTGTCTGTACCTCTTGTGCACTTCTCTGTGTTTTCCTTTTCCTTAGCGTTATTGTGTTGGTCACTCGCTTTTGGTATATTGCCTTTCTCTTCACCCAAATCAACACTTGTCTGTACCTATCTAGCAATAAAGTCCCTTTACTTTTTAATATCCCAGAGGACACTCAAAATAGCATAAGAAAATGGCCATATTTTAGTACTGCTGATCTAGCACTTGACCTGGAATTTAAAGATGTTATGCTAAAGGCATTTTCTAGGTCCAGCCTGCAGACCTACCAAGAAACACAATAAAGGCAGCAACAAAAGAAAGTATTCCACCTTTATAATGCTAGAATATCCTACAGAATCACTCTTCCCTCTATTATGATTTCTGTTAAGCCATATATATATTTATTTTATTATTTTTTTTTAAAGTCCTGTACTTATAAATACCAAGGGTAGTTAGTTGTTCTGAACTGTCAAGATCAAAAATCCTGCCCCAAACTTACCTCACTTATTAAAATTTAAGACTTAAAGCTACTTGTTCTGACCATGCCAGTTATTTTGGTACCCAAATTCTGCTCCTTATATATATCTCAGTATCTCAGCCACAGCACCAGATCTTAGTGTTTTCAGGAAGCTTTAATAAATTATACCCTTTTTTGGTGGGCTCTCAGCCCAATAGTTAACAAGATATACACGTAGCCCACTCAGCCCAGAATGACACACCCACATACTCTATGGTAACACATCCCTTAGAGCAATAGATCATGGGACACCAGAGAACCGACATTCAAATATGAGGGGCACAGGGGGTTGGTTACAGAGTAGGGAGGAGAGGAGACTGGGTTAGGGTTGGACATGGTGAATGGAGAATGAAACTAAATGTACGTATTACGTTGAATGTAAAACAAGCTCTTAAAATAAAAAAAAGAAATTATTCCCTTTTTTCCCTCCACCTATATTTGGAACTAATTGAAAGATAATGAGCCACAGGACTAGGATGAAGATGAAAATGTCAGCTTTATAACTAATGAAACATGTGGAGAACATTGGTTAGGAGGGAGGTCCACATAAGCCTGCTAGTACTCTCCAACTCCCACAATCTAATTTATACCTGAGGAAAGCCCACGGTGAGGGAGAATTAAGGCCTGCAAAGTAGATGTCTCTACCCCAGACCACATTGCTAACAGCAGAGAGAGAAAAAATGTGAACTAGTACCTTAATGTAATAAATTTGTTTCACCCAGTCAGGAAACATGGGCCAAGGGATATCATCTCCCAACTTTAGAAGGATGAATTAAGGATGGAGTAAAAAGCCCAGAGCATTGCACTAGTATAGTTTCCTTCACAAGGAAACATGAGACATATGTGATAAGCTGTTCTCACTACCCTCAAAAATTTACCATGTGATTGGCCTCTTGTTATTTTATAATACTGGTTCTCCTATTTCTAAATGGCATCTTCAAAATGCACATTGTTCTAATACATATGTTCTCCCTGTTTAGGTCCTCCTGTATGATCCTCTCTTTGACTGGACCATGAATCCTTTGAAAGCTTTGTATTTACAGCAGAGACCAGAAGATGAAACTGAACTCAACTCCACTCTGAATGCAGATGACCAAGAATGCAAACGAAATCTCAGGTGAGCAGTATTTTTGGAAGCACCTATTGTCTATTGTTTAGGTTTTCCTATTTCCAAGGCTCTTTAAATTGTTGCACATCATTGAAACCTTTGTGTTTTTGTCATTAGTGATTTCAACCAGAGTTTCAACAAAGTAGCTGAACGTGTCTTGATGAGACTGCAGGAGAAGCTGAAAGGAGTGGAGGAAGGCACTGTGCTCAGTGTGGGTGGACAGGTGAATTTGCTCATACAACAGGCCATGGACCCTAAAAATCTCAGCCGACTTTTCCCAGGATGGAAAGCATGGGTGTGATCTTCAGCATATAAATTAACTTTTCAGTTGAACCTTTTAGAAATTATATTTTGGTCTTATTTTTAATCTACATACATTCTTTGAACAGCAAATACTTAAATAAGCTACCCTGCTTTTTAAAAAATGCTTATTAAAGCCACCAAAGGATTTGATAGTCTGGAAGTTTCTTCTCTTAACAGTTTAGAAATAGTTCTCTCAGCTTTTATATTTCTTCTCAAATACATCTTTGTACCCTTTTCAATAGAATCACTGACTTAGTATTTGCTAAAAACAGTGGAAGGAGGATTGCAGACACACATCAGTGACAATTTTTTCCTTAGTATCAGTTACGACAAATAAATATACTGCTAGTCTTGAGGCCGCTTTTAATTGTTCCCCATATATTATATATGAATGATAAATTCTTTGATATTAATATATAAAAGGAGGGGGAAGCTTTAAAATTATAACCATCTACTTTGTATCATGGTAAAGCTTACCTGTATTAAAAATAAGAAAGTGTTGAAAAAAGTAATATTTAAGAAATGTGTTTGGATTTTCCATAGCAAGACTGCCCAGTGTACTTTATAATCAAATTTCAGAGACACAGTTAATGTGGTTACTATTTTTGAAAAATGTACATTGGACCTTCTTATTGTTTTAATATTAAGCCCTTTTGTGTTTTCCATCAGTTTTTCTTTCTGTGATGCCTTCATGGTTGTATTTTCATATCTATCTTCTAGTGCATGAATTTTGTCTATAGCTGTATATAATCTACTTTTAAACTTATTTATTAGGTTTCTTCTTTCCATAATTGTTTTTTGTAGCTATTTATCATTCTTCAGCTCTGCCTGTTATTTGTTTCATGATGTCTTACCTTTTCATTCCCTTCTTTTATGGCACTAATCATTTAAGTATACTTACCTACTCCTCAGAAGATTGGACAATCTATGTCCATAGCAATACTGCCTCGGAAACCCAGAGGGGTCACTATGAGTTGAATAGACTCAATGGCAGTGAGTTTGTCATTTTTATTTATGTAGTAACTTGATCAAATCATGTTTGCAGGGGTTTAACCTTGCTGTTTTTAATCTGTTCATTCTTGTATTTGGTGGACTATTCACCCATGTTTTTTGTAATTTTGAAATGTGAGCTAATTTTCAGCAGGCTTTATATGGGGGAGTTTTGAGTAATTCCTTCCAAATAAGTTTTGTGTCTACCTTTGCCATATACCCAGGCATATCACTGACTTAGGACCATTCTTATTTTAATTTTTTGGCTTCAGGGTATCCAGGCCTCAGGAGTATAAATTAGAAATCTCCATCTCCTAAAAGCAGATCCATGTTAACAGATTGCTAGAGAAGACTCCCAGCCCAGGCAGACATACTTCCCTGTCATCTCCCTGTGCTAGTGGGCAGAAGGTTTCATTGGCTGCCCTTTCACTGAGGGTGTAAACCTACTTTATAGTGGGGGTGGGTGGAGGGGTGCATTTAATTCCTTTTGCCTGCCTTGTGCAAGTCCAGGGTTTCACCTGCCCTCAGGTAGATGTTAAAGTGGAATCTCATGTAATGAGACTGGCACATTGTGCCAGCACAGCTACAGCATCACCTCACACACTTATTTTTCTAGTTTTCATTTTCCTTCATTTTTAGCCCTGAGGATTTCCTTTACTTTCTTATAAATTCTGCTGTCCATTTAAAAGAGGGCGCTCTGGTAGCATAGTGCTTAAAGCACTTGACTGCTAACCAGAAGGCTGGCAGTTCAAACCCACCAGCCACTCCTCAGAAGTGGAGTGAAGGTTGGGCAATCTACTTTCGTAGTAATACTGCCTCAGAAACCCAAGCAAGGTGAGGTCGCTATGAGTCGGGTCCGACTCCATGGCACATAACAACAACAACATTTAAAAGAACATTTGTTAATTTTATCTAGTATTTCTATGTATTTTGTGGAAGAGGAGGATTCAGGTTATCTAGTTTGATGCATAATTAGAAATTGAAGTTTTCCCTGTCCCTGTACTCTCACCAGATAAGCCAGTAAAACTTGTTTATTAATGAATACTTGTGTGGTAGTGCATACAATCCCTCCTCCATCCTTAAAAAAAATGTTCATACCAGCTTGCGGAGATTAAGAACTTTCCTCTTATTTGTACCATAGGAAGTTAATTAAACACATTTTTATTATGAAGTCTTTTTATTGCTAACAGCAAATACTCATTCGTACCTGATCTTCTCACTTTTCATCCCCACCTCCCACCCCTCACCAAACAATTTCCAAACTTTTGGGACTATAAATTTCTAGGTTTGCTTTCTGCAAAACTTCTTTAGATCATTTTGCATGTTAAATTATAAAATTATCTTGATTCATCTTTTTCTTATAAGCTACCAGTATTTGGTATATGCTGGCAGCTTTATTAATATAGTTAGTGATCAAGAGAATGCAGTAAAGTTAGAATGTCTTCATTAAGAAAGTCTTGAAATCTTCATGAGTGAAATAGGGAAATTAACAGCTGGATGATAGTACAAGTAAATGAGTTTGTAGCTAATTCTAGCTACTGATGCTTTCAGAGAGTTTTGAATAAGAGCTTATTAATCTACCCTTCAACCTTGAATGGCATACTTAAGGCTCCCATCTTACGTAAACTTTTTTATCACAGCTTAGACAAGGCACATCAAATTTACAGATAAAAACCTGTGTGTAATAGCTAATTCATAGAATGACAGTTAAAATTCGTAAAGATTTTGGCAAGCTGGAACACTGTTTGGAAGTGAGTAAGATAGACATTTACCAGGAGCACAGGAGTAGGGGTTTCAAGATACATTAATCATGATTGTATGTTAAGTACCTGACATACGTTATATGCAGCATCTCTAATCCTTACCAAGAAAAAAAAACCTTGCAAGATTGGTATTATCCCAATTTTCAGCTGGAGAAATGGAAATTTGGAGACATTAGATAACTTGTCCAAGGCTACAAGATAGTAAATTACAAGTTTTATATGGACAGTGTCTAACTTGAGACTATTTCAAGTGGAAAGAATCTAAGGTTCACCAATTAGTTCACCACAAAGTCAGTGAAAAGCAAGTAGAGAAGCTATTTGAAGAACTAATAAAGTTTAACACTTGTGTCCATATTAAGGGAGATTATAGCCCTCCCAGTGTGCTTTGTGTTGGTCATAACCATCCCAAAGTGTATTGCTTGTGTTTTGACCACAAAAGTAATATTGACAGACTGGCTACTACATATTACTGAAATCTCTGATACATCCAGTGCTCTTTAGGTCCCAAAAAATGTTGGATTATGCTGTTTTTTAAAAAGCTAAATCTTTGGGAGCCATTTACACAGAAAATTATATTCTTGAATCTTCTGTCATCACATACACATACCAGGAATACTTTCTGAAGATGCTTCCAGGTTAGTTGGAGTTTTATATCAAATTATTTACCTGTGCCTAGTTGGAAGAGAGGGTGGCTAGGGAGTTTTGGGGAGATAAAGAAAGAATAAGGGAGATAGGAGTATTTTATTTTACTAAGCCACTCGGAATGTGACTTATTTTTTGGTTAGTAGATTATGAACCCAAGCTCAATTACTCACAATCAGTAGGTACATAAATCCATGGTTATTATAGAATAGCCTATTTTAAACCTTAAAATGCCCAATGTTCTTCTTTAGACCACATTTATAAATTTATAACATTTCAAAGGCTGGTCTTTAAAAAAAAAAGTAGAAAACCAGTATACTGGCTTTAAGTATAGAGTTAGTTATCTGTCATTTCAAATTTAATTGCGCATTAATGAAATCATGTATTTTATATAAATTTTAGTATTGAATGTGTTTGTTTTCACTGTTACCTGAAACCACTGTAAAATGCATCTTGAATAAATAATTCTAAAAGAATGTCTGTTAAGATTCCTTCATTTTGTCCACATATTTGTGTTTTTTGTGTGCCAGGCTTGGTGTTTGCCTAAGGAGACAGTAGTGGGAGAAATATATGGCAGTCTATTTCCATGAAGATGTACAGCCTTGTAAACTATGGAGGCAGTTCTCTGTCCTACAGGATCACTATGAGTCAGAATCAGCTCAATGATAATGGGTTTATCTTTTTTTTTTTTTTTAATTACTAGCTGTGTAATTGAGGGCAAGTTACTTAACTTCTGTAAGTGTTTCCTCACCTGTAAAACAATGATAATAGTATCACCTACCTCATTATTTTTGTTAGAAGGCAAAAGAACTGATTAGGGGAAGAATCTAGAAGGAAAAAGAAAATTGATAAGTAAAGAAATGTAAACAAAAATATATAAAGAGATGAAACAGGAAAAAAGCAATTACTAAGCAGGTAGAAGAGTGACTAGGAGAGAAATTGAGAAAGGTAAAGTTGGGTAAGCAGACAAAATCGAGAGGAAAGAAAAAAGTATAGTGGAGAAAAGTGGAAAAATGGAAAGACAAAGTGATAGGAAAGGAAACGAGGCACATTTGGATCTGGGATAATAGAAAAACTGCCTTGTAATGCACCAAATACTTCAAATAAAGATAATCAGTCTGAAGATCATTTGCACCTAAGTGTCATAACTTTATTTAAGTGTGATTTTTAAAATACTAGTTTCTCAATAGCAGGGGTGATTCCCACATTTCCCAGGACCACTCTTAACTGAGTTCAATATTCTGTTTCTGTTCAATCTATCTTAATTGGGCTAAGTTCTAGGCCCAAGAATACACACATCATTCCAGTCAGAATAAACTAACTCTGTTATAACTAATAGATGTAGGGCTCCACAGGCTCAGAGAAGAAAATAAAGTATTTTACATTCCATAAGTGGACTCAGGTGTCAGCCTAGGAAAATGTGATCTTGCATAATTATATGAACGATCGTCTGGTATCTCCATCAGACTCTCTGATAAATCTTCATAGTCATACATATTTTTCTCTGCTTGCTCAAAGCTGAAGCCTAAAGAGGAATGACAAATAATTATATGCAAGATGTGACACCATACAAGTTCATTCACTGTACTCCTATATTCCAGGAAAGATCTATTCCACATTCCTTTAACCATTTTTAGAGCAGACAGCTATATATCTTATTTAACTAAATCCATTTATGCCCAATTTTCTGAAATAACTCTTCACTATCACAATAATTGTCCATCTACAGAATGCTCTTCAGAACCTGGGTTTGAAATTTGACTCTGCTAATTACTAGCTGTGTAATTGGAGGCAAGTTATCCTGTAAAACAAGAATAATAGCCCCCACATCACTGTTTTTATGAGAGTTATATGTGATGGTGCATGTAAAGAGCTAAAGTTCCCAGATTTGCTTGGGATTTGATCTGCTACATAAAGGGGCACCTATTCCCTGCTCTGGGAGCTCTGGTAGCATAGTGCCTAAGGCACTTGACTGCTAACTAGAAGGAAGGTTGGGCAATCCTACTTCCGTAGTGATACTGCCTCGGAAACCCAAGGAGGGGTCGCTATGAGTCGGGGCCGACTCGACGGCAAATAACAACAACAACAACATTCCCTGCTCCAGTGCCAACATGTTCAATGTACTACCTTCCACTGGCTTTTATAATAATGCAAATTTCTACTACTTAAAACAATTTTCACTTGCTTTTAAGCTCCTACGTACCATCTAACTAACCATCTTTCCTTCTGTCGTCATTAACTATCATCTAATTCTTAAGTACCATCTTTCCTTTTTTACAGAACTAACCCACAAACTCTTAAGTCTTTATGGAAGCAGACTGCCACATCTTTGTCCCACAGAGCGTGTGATGGGTTCAAATCACCAATCTCTTGGTTAACAGCTGAGTGCTTAACCACTGCACCACTAGGGCTTCCTTTTCACAGTAATCCCTTTCAAATCAATAATTTATGTTCTCTGCTTCCATTTTTGTACTCATCACTTCTTTATATTTTATCTGCACTGAAAACCTGCTATACCAAGATACATTGGTAATTTAATGGTTTTGTTCATTATAGGTTTTGTTCACAACCTTTTTGTTTTGTTCAAAATCTATAATGCCCTGCCCTCTAGTGAAGATAGTTATCTGGGACTGGCCTCTAGAAGGCTATCAACTCCATTAAACCAACTCAACTGCCATCAAGTCAATTCTGATTCATAGTGAGTCTCTGAGGCTGTAAATCTTTATGAAAGTACCATTTTCCTCCCACAGAGCAGCTCTTGGGTTTGAACCAGCAACCTTCTGGTTAGCAGTCAAATGCCATAGGCACTGTGCCACCCAGAGCTTTGGTTCCCTTGAAATAGAAATCACGTGTGTGTGTCTGAGGAACAGGCAAATAACCACTGATGCTAGATTGTAAGGGAGAGAGTGGGACAGACGAGGGTAGAAAGATGGCCAGAGCCAGATCCAGAAGGCCTGCCATGATAAAATTAAGGTTTTATTCCAAGTACAGTGAAAAACTGAGAAGCAGCAGTGTAGTCATAGGTAAGAGCATGGATTACAGTGCTAATTCCCTGACAGTACTGCTGTGTGTCCTTGAGCAAGCATCTTAGCCTTCATGTTTATTCAACTGTAAAATGCAGATAATAGAACCTATCTTACTAGCTTGAAGGAGCTCTAGTGATACAGTGGTTAAGGCACTTGACCACTAGCCAAAAGGTCAGTGGTTCAAACCCACCAGCTGTTCCATGGAACAAAGATGAGGCAGTCTGCTTCTGTAAAGATTTACAGCCTTAGAAACCCAATGGCGTTTGCTATGCATTGGAATTGCCACAACGGCACGAGTTTTGATATTTTGGTTATTAGCTTGAAGATCAAATGAGTTAATTTTATAATGCACTTTAGGACAGCACTTCCACATAGAAATTGCTAAAGAAAAGTATGTTAAATAAATTGAAGTGTTTTTGAATAGGGGAGTGTGGTAGTTAAGGTTGTGCATCAACTTGGCTGGGCCATGCTTTTGAGTGGCTGGGCAGCTGGGGGCAGTTATTCCCCATGAAGAGATTAGAATCAACTCCATGGTGGAATCTGCTGTGAGCAGCTTCTTAGTTGCTTGGAGTGTGGCCTGCTTCCAGTATATATGGGGAAGCTTTGAGGAAAGTCTTTAGCTTTTGGCACATCCGGATCCTGCATTTGACTGAGTTCTCATCTCAATGGCCTGCCATCTTGCCTGCCAATCTTGGAGTTGTGCTATTTTACTTGTCGATCTTGGGTTTGTCAGTTTCAGCAGCCACCAGCTGTGTGAGTCAGAACAAGCCTCCAGACTCTAATGGGGGCCTGGAACAGTAGCCAGAGCTCAAGCCACAGTCAAGGGGGCTTCACCGAGCCCCTAGAGTTAGCAGGTTGAACTCAGACCTGTAACCTCCTAAACTGTAAGAGAATAAATCTCTGTTTGTTAAAGCCATCCACTTGTATTTCTGTTGTAGCAGCACTGGAGAACCAAGACGGGAAGTGTTTAGCTGATTTGAATTTTTTTACAGCTCACTCCCCACCTGTTGGGTGACAATGAGCTAGAGGAGTACCCATTGGAAAGCTATAGCAGAATGTGACAGGGCAATGGCGGTTTGGACTGTAGTGGCAGCTGTGAGCTGGAAAAAAGTAGAGAGTTAATGCTAGTGATAGCTAACATTTATTATGTGTTATGTGCCAGGCACTATTCTAAGCTTCTTACATATATTGCCTCTTATTACCTTCCAACAACCAATGGGTTGAATTGTATCCTCCCAAAATGTGTTGGAATCCGAACCCCTATATCTATAGATTTAATTTTATTTGGTACTAGGGTTCTCTTTGTTACATGAATGAGACCATAGCAGCATAGAGTGTCTTAAACCTAATCACTTTTGAGATGTAAAAAGAGCAGGTAAGGCACAGAAGCAAGCCAGAACAATGAGAGAAAGATAAATGCCCAACAGAGGGAGGAACGGAAGGCTAGAGACAAAGATTGCCCCCAAAGGGGACAGAGAGAGCCTTTCCCTAGAGCTGGTGCCCTAAATTCAGACTTTTAGCTTCCCCAAACTGAGAAAATAAATTTCTGTTTGTTAAAGCCACCTATTTGTGCTATTTCTGTTACAGCAGTTCTAGGAAACTAACAGCAGGTATTATTATTCCCATTTTATAGATGAGGAAACTAGGGTAGTAACTTGTTCAAGATCACACAGCCAGTAAGTAGTAGAGCCAGAAATTAAACCCAGGCAGTATGAATCAAGACCATAATTGTAACCACTCTGATAGCAAGACAGCTCATACACTCAGATTATATAGTAGCTATATTTAGGCTGTGGCTATGTTGGAATCACAGGAGCTTTGGTGGTGCAGTATTCAAAGCATTGGGCTGCTAACCAAAAGGTCAGCAGTTCAAACCCACCAGCCTTTCCACAGGAGAAAGATGAGGCAGTCTGCTTCCATAAAGCTTTATAGCCTTGGAAACCCTGTGGGGCAGTTCTTTTCTATCCTATAGGGTCACTATGAGTCAGAATCAGCTTGATAACAGTGGGTAGTGGGATGTTGGAATCACTGATAATGATTCTGGATATGATGATATTCTTCAACATGCTATCACTTTCAGCTTTGAAGTATTGCTGACCACTGGTGGGGAAAATAATGGCATAGAACAAATTTTTTAAAAGAATGTTTCCAATATTTTAAGACATTTACTTTGCCAAGTAAAGTTTACGCATTTCAAATGATTACTGAAACCATGAGATATATAACTTTTTAAAATGATGATATATATAAATATAACTCATTAAAAAAAATTCATCTAACCCTAAATAAAATAGATAATTTTCTTCTATTCCCAAAAAACAATCTCACATGTAAAGGCCAAATGACATTCAGATACATCTGTACTTGTGTATCTGTGCAGGGTGCTGAAATGTAGGTACTTAGAAATATGTACATCTGTAGACTATCAATTTTTCCCCAGTTTTTTATTTTGGTAAAAATACATGTAACAAAACTTTTGCCAATTCAACAATTTTTGCATGCATAATTCAGTGACACTGATTGTGTTCATCCTGTTTTGCAGTCATTACCACTATCCTCCAAATTATTCCACCACCATTCATGTTTCATTTTTGTTCACAAGAATTTTCACAAAAGTATTGCTAGAAATCACTTACCTTTGAAGTTGGCTGAAGAGTTGCTTGTTGCAATTTCCTTCCAGTTGGCAATATACCTAAGCGTATTGTATGAGCATTCATTAAATTAAATTGATTCATTAGACAGTAATAAGCTGATTCATTAGTACATGCTCTTAGACTACTTGTAACATTCCACTTACTCTAAGAAAGCTTAGAATAATGGTGACAATTTCACACACATAAATGCTTAATTCTCATGACTTTCCCACCTCTTGAGAGCTCACAGGCACCGAAAGCAACTCCTAGTCAAGAAATTGAAAGAGGTAAAAAATGGTACCCACCATCTTTTAGTACCCTTTTGTCTCCCTCCAGCACACCTCTCCTCATTTTATCCTGATTCATTCCTGCAAGATCATATCCTCTGTCAAATGTCCACTAAGATGTTCACTAATAACTTCTAAACTAAAAGAATGGATAGAAGACTCTGGGAGAGGGAAGAAGTCAGGGGTGAGGGAAACACCTTCTCCTTTGTTCAGGATTGCAAGATCAATTGTCTTTGACAAGTCAGTGGAAATTTAAAAATGTATGGTTCATGACTTTCTTGGAGAAATTGTGCTGCTGCTGCTACTGCCCCTGATTTTGCAATGTCCAGTAAACAGAAAAGATTCCATTCAAGTAGAGTAAATGTCCTTAGTTCCCTAAACAGAGACTGAACTAAGAAGAAAGAGGAGGCCAGGGTAGCCTGAGAAGTGGTAAAGTAGGGAAAGGCAACCTATGAGCCACAAGGATAAGAGAAAGCTCCAAGGGCAGGTTTCCTGTGACCTTATTCCATTTCATCTTAGACTCCTATCTTCCTTACCCAAGTCTTCCTCCTTTCAACTGCATTCATTATTACAAGAGAAATCGGGTAAGGAATGGTCACAGCAGATGCTGAAAGTAAGCTAGAAGAAAAAGGATGAGGCTTGGAATTGCTATGTAGTTCAGAAAATACTGTGATGTTCCATGTATTTATTGATTCCAATTGCTCTATTCCTTACTTTTGCTAACTTTGGACTCCTGAAGTTTTCTGCTATAAGAAGGACATAATATCCAATAAGGAGCTCTGGTGGTTTAGTGCCTAAGGCATTTGACTGCTAACCAGAAGGCTGGTGGTTCAAACCCACCAGCCACTCCTCAGAAGATTGGGCAATCTATTTCTGTAGTGATACTGCCTCGGAAACCCAAGGAGGGGTTGCTATGAGTTGGAACCAACTCAACGGCAGTGAGTGTGGTTTTTGGTTTAATATCCAATAGCATTTAACTGTAATAAGGTACTGTGTTTAAAGTCTGCTCTTACCTACTAATTGCTACCTGTTGTTGCTCCACAGACGTTATTCTATAGCCTTGAATGGGATACTGTTGGCACATTGTTAAGTGAAAGAAAGCAGGACAACAGGTGATATAAGCACCTTCCAGGACCTCTTAGTAGCCAATTCATTCTGGCTTGACTTTAAACACAGGCAGACTTTGTGCTTTCAGTTGTTACTCAGGAACATTTATAAAGAGTTGGATTTCAATCATCTTGCTTCCTAGGACTTGGAAGGTTTTCATTCCACCTTCAAGAAAACAAGATAAAGGACCTTGATCAAAGGTATGCTAAGTCCTGACAATTTGGCACTAATATATGTCATTATTATGGGCCTAACACTGACCTTGCTTGACCTAAGATTCAGGACATGAATTTACTCAATTATTTTAAAAGAACTTCTCACTAAGGTGTGCCTGACCCAAGTCATGGTATTTTCAATCATCGTGCAAAACCTGGACAACGAATAAGGAAGATGGAAGAATTGATGCCTTTAAATTATGTGCTGGTAAAGAATACTAAAAATGTCATGGACTGCTGCCAGAAGAATGAACAAATCTGCCTTAGAAGAAGTACAGGAAGAATGCTCCATAGACATGAGGAGGGTGAGACTTCATCTCATGTCCTTTTGGGCATATTATCAGAAGGAAAAAGTTGAGAAGCACATCATGCTGGGAAAAGTAGAGGGTCAGCAAAAAAGAGGAAGAGGGACCCCTCTTTTCATGCTGATAGTTTTCCACATCCAAAGACTGTCTCAGTTTTGTCTTTGTTATGTCTAAGACTTAATAAAAGTGATTCTATTGGGGGGGGGCGGGGAGAGGAAGACCCACAACAAGATGGATTGACAGAGTGGCTGCAACAATGGGCTCAAGCACAGCAACAATTATGAAGATGGCACAGCATCAGGAAGTGCTTGGTTCTGCTGTATACAGGGTTGATAGGAGTCAGAACCAACTTGAAGGCACCTAACAACAACAACGATGATGGTTAGGCTTTGGAAACTGTCCACAAGGTCTGGAATTGAACCCACACCTGTGGTTTCCAGCCAAACAATGTACAGGCATGTGAGTTAAACATTTACCTCAAGTAGACACACGCCCTGGAGAGAACAATCATGGGAGAAGGAAGGGCTGCTTATGCACAAGGAGACAGCTCAGGGGACAGGAGAGTATGGAGGGATGGACACTGGGAAGAAGCAACTATGAGGAGGAAGTAGGAGGGGAGCTGTTGCATTGTGGTAAACTGTGGTCAATGACATGAGACAAAGTATATGTGAACTGCTGTATGGAAAGTGAATTTGCTCTGTAAATCTTCACCCAAATCACAATAAATAAAAAAAGAAAACTGTCCACAGATTTTGAAAGACAGTCTCCAAAGACATAATAGCTACAAATTCTCAGAGTGTGGAAAAATGCCATACTCTGAAAGTCTCATCAAACCAGATGTCCTCAATCCAGTTACAAATATCTAAAGAACTAGTAATATCTAAGGTAGAATGTGGACAAATGGGATGGGATTTGAAGAAGGTAGTTACTATATTAAATGTTTGCAGTGAACAAAGAGAAGTTCTTTGCAAAGTTTTGTCTTGCCAGAGATAATCAATGGCCTGTGGTTAGGAATGCTTCTGAAATATTTACAAATAATACCTCTGGACTGCATTTAGAATTTTTGCTGTCCCTGAGATTTGCCAGGGATTAATCGAATCTTGATTTCTAAGATTCCAAGTCAGTGCCAAATTATGATTGTATCCAAGTCATAGAATAGACTGGTATAATGGTATCAAGAAACTGTATATAATCTGGAAACATGAGGTATTTGCATTTTCAAAAAGCTGAAATTTTCAGGGTTACTTTTACCATATCAAAGTAACCTATATTCATCCTACTCAAAATAAAGGATATGATATGAAGAAATGCTTCATAGTTTATTCTGTTTTTGTCCTCTTTCCCACAAAGGGAAGCTATTAAGAGTCTTCATCATCTACTAGAGAGGGATATTAGGGGTGATAGTAGGGAAAGCCTGTGTAGACTGAGATGCCTAGGATATTGTTCATCTCATCCCTTTGAAGCCTATTCTTCTATTCTTTTTGTATTACGGTAGTAATACAGGACATTGATGTGATTTTTTTGTAATCTTTCACTGAAGCTTGCTGGTCCTTTGAATTACTTAGTTGTGTAAGAATGTTGTTGTTATGTGCCGTCGAGTCAGACCTGACTCATAGCGACCCCTCCTTGGGTTTCCAAGGCGGTATCACTACAGAAGTAGATTGCCCAACCTTCCTTCCAAGGAGTGGCTGGTGGGTTTGAACTGCCAGCCTTCTGGTTAGCAATAAAGTACCTTAAGCACTATGCTACCAGAGCTCCTTGTGTAAGAATAGTGGTGAGTATTACCATCTGTCAACTGTATAAAAGTAAGGCAGAGGAGCACTTCAAAAGATCACCTGAGAGAATTCTCTATAGTGCCTAAGGCACTTGACTACTAACCAGAAGGCTGGAGGTTCAAACCCACCAGCCAATCCTTAGAAGGAAGATGGGGCAATCTACTTCCGTAGTGATACTGCCTCAGAAACCCAAGGAGGGGTCACTACGAGTTGGGTCCAACTCAGCGGCATATAACAACAACATCCTCAGAAAGTCATTTGAAACAGACCTCCTCTACTTCTTTCTCCCTTTCTTTCCTCGTTTCTCTACCCCAATTCTTTTTACTCTCAAGAAAGGAAGTAGAAGTAAGGCATTACGATTCTTTTTTGGGGGGTGTCATTTCTTGCATCATTACTGCTATCTGTATGTATTTAGTCCTAGAAACCACAGATGAGTGTCTATAGGAAACCCCAATATAATGGTCTGGATAAGATATTGGGGCTATTTTACCTCTTTTTTCTATTTATTAAGAAATATCTTTGAGCATCTGACATGGATAATTCTTTATTTCTTCCCATATTTCCCTGTTTATTTTCTAATATGATCTTCCTAGCAATATATATTTCTTTTTTTTTCCTATTTTCCTTTTGTTGCTTTTAGTCATTTTCTTTTTCATTTCTATTTTCAATAACCATCAACTTGACTTTTCTTATCATTTTTTCTTATCTTCCTAATTTCTTTCTTTTTCTTGTATTTCTTTACTTTCACTACTTATTTTTAATTTTTCTACCCCTTCATCATGTAATACATTCATTATTGGATTTGAGTAAATATTAAATCTTTTTAAAAGCTTGTTGAGCTCTAATTCACATACAATACAGTTCACTCATTGAAGGTATACAATTCGATGTCTTACAGAATATTCACTATAAGAGTTGTGCATCTACAACCACAATACATTTTGAACATTTTCATTCCTCGTAAAGAAACCTAACACCCTTTAGCCCTCAACCCTCCCAATTCCTGCAACCCCCAGTTCTGTTGTTGTTGTTGTAAGTTCCAATTCATAATGACACCCAGTCCTTGCCAACTATTAATATATTTTCTCTATATATAGCTTTGCCTTTTCTGGATATTTCTTATAAATGGAATTGTACAAAATGTGGTCTTCTGTGACTGGCTTCTTTCACTTAGCATAATGTTTTCAAGGTTCATCCATATTGTAGTATGTCAGTATTGTGTTTCTTTTTATTGCCAAATAATATTCCAAAATGTTATTTATCCATTCATCAGTTAATGGACAGTTGGGTCATTTCAACTATTTTGTTATTATGAATAATGCTTCTGTTGTGGACTGAACCGTGTCCCACTGGAATATATACTGAAGTCCTGGCCCTATATCTATGGATATGATCATATTTGGAAACAGGTTCTGCTTTTGTTATGTTAATGAAATAATACTAGAGTAGGGTGAGTTGTGCACCTAATCACTTCTGAGTTATGAAAAGAGCAGAATACACAGAGGTGGAGGATGCCATGTTAAGATAGACACATGGAAGATGGCGGAACACTAAGAATGGCTGGTAGCTTACAGAAAAAGACCTCCCCCTGGAGTCATGCTCTGAATTCAGACTTCTAGTCTCCTCGACTGTGAGAAAATAAATTGTTCTTTAAAGCTGCCCACTTGTATTTTTTCATTACAGCAATACTAGGTAACTAAGATAGCTCCTATAGCCATTTCTGTACAAGTTTTGTGTAGACATACGTTTTCATTTATCTTGGGCATATACCTACAATTGGAACTGCTGGATCATGCAGTAACTATATGTTTAACCTTTTGAAGAAATGCCAGATTGTTTTCCAAAGTAGCTGCACCACTGTGCGTTCCCACTAGCAGTATATGTGGGTTCCAATTTCTCCACATCCTTGTCAATATTTGTCTTAAACTACAGCCATCCTAGTGGGTGTGAAGTGGTATTTCATTGTGGTTGTGATTTGGCATTTTTCTGATGGCTATATTAAATATTTTTTATTTCCACCACACAAGAAAAATCTTAAAAATGTTCTTTAAGGGCCATAGTATTTCATTGAAAAAGTTCCTTTTAAATGTTTCATATAGAAAGATTAGGGAATACAAATTGAGGAAATTCTTTGTGTTACTAACTTCATGTTCTTAGCCTTGTTTCTAAACCCCAAAGTTACAAGTAAAGCAGCTTTAGACTAAGGCATGAGAATAAATTCTGAGAATAAAGAACATCTAAGTCTACTATGCTTTTTTCAGTTTTTGGATTATCCCTTTTTAAAATTTTTCTCCCTTATTTTCTTCTTTCCTTTATAAATAATAAATGCTCATTTTTTGGGGGAGGCGTACGTTTGTGGGATTTAATGTGGGAATAGAAAATGCTAGACAGAAAAATGTATAAGATGATGCTTGCCCTTGTTCCCCAAGAACAGGAACATGTATTTACTCATCAAAATTCAGTGTATTTGTCCAGTTCAGCACTTCATCCACTTCCCATTCCATCACAGAATCTATCCCACCATCTTCTATGGCTCTTATTAGCCCTTTTGTTGCTGTGTGAATTAAACCTATAGTTTCATAATTTGTTGACTTAGCTTCCAGACTTCCTGCGTAGTACCTACGTGGAGGAAAGAAAAGGAAACATAAATCCTTTGGAATAGGTGGTTACAAGTAGATGCAGTTGATATATGTGGAACTATTTACATATTAAACCAAGTTTTCTTCCTACACAACTCAGATGTATATAACCAAGATCTTTATGTGATGAGATCTTTTAGGAAAAAAAAAAAAAAAAAATTTGATCAAGCACACCAGGCATAAAGGACTCATTTCAAAAGTATCGCTTAATAGTTACATTTTAAGGATATCAAAAAATAAAAATAAGTTATTAAATAACTGAATCATAAAATTCTAGAGCTGAAAGGATCTTAGAGACTGACTAATTAGCCCATTCATTTTAAAACTGAGGAAAACACATGCTGGAGGAACTGAGTAACTCTTTACAAGATTACATGGCTAATGGCAATAGGAAGAGGAAAGGAAAGGGGAAAAGATAGAAAGGAAGAGGTAAAGGGGAAAGAAATACTAACATCTTTTTTGCCAGGTACTTTTCATACTTTATCTTGTTTAATTCTTTTAAAAGAGTCTCTGGGTGGCACAAGTGGTTTAGTGCTGGACTACTAACCAAAAGGCTGGCAGTACAAACCTACCAAGAGGCACCTCAGAAGATACGCTGCCTTGAAAACACTGTGGAGTTCAGGTCTCTGCAACATGGGGTTGCCTGAGTTGGAATCAGCTTAACAGCAATGAATAACAAATGAGGCAGTATCCTTAGGAGGAATCACTTGATGAGTATGGTAGGAGGTCTTTCCCCTCTGGCTAGTAAGAACACGAAATATTTCTAACACTCTGTGAGCTGCAGGGATTGTTTGCCTGATCCTTTCCCATGGTCTTTCTCATGTTTCAGGTGGTTTTTTTTCACATGCTTGGTGCAGATAAATATTCAGTTGGAGAATAAGAGGTAACCTACAGATTTCCAGAGCCACCTCTCACTGTTGCCCATGTTCTCTCTGCTACTCTGTTTTGTGAATTTTAGCTACTTGGCTTATTCAGAATCTGAACATTTCAGGGAGACCTTTGGGCTCTGTTTGGATACCCATTCGTGCCCTACAACCTAGAAATTCTCTCAGGCAGCAAGATGGGGCAATTCTAGAATTCATCTTATTTCTTTCCTCTCTTTCAGAGGTCCGTGTCCTGAGTTTCCTGTTGTCTAGTGTCTAAAAATGTTTTAAAACATTTGTCTGTTTTTAAAATTTTGTTTGAAGTAGGCAAGTAAATCTAGCCCTGTTACTCTATCAAAGCCAGAAACAGAAGTCCTACAACCCTTTGCAGAGCATCTCTTGTGAAGTCCACTGTGATAGTTGGAGCTGTGTGTCAACTTGGCTGGACCACAATTCTGTGTGATTTAAGCAATTGTGATGTGGGTTGTTCCAATGATGGGATCAGATGTATATATTTTGAGCAGCCTATCTGTTGAAAGGGAGTTTTCCTAGGACTGTGGTCTGCTTCCAGTATATTTATGGACATCCTGGGAAAAAAGACACTCTTCTATGGATCGGGATTCTGTTGTGCTGCCTACAAATGTCCATGAGTGAACAATTCACCATTTGGCCTGGAGATCTTGGATTCATTCATTGGAGTTAACAGCTAGTATACTGCCTGACAACCTTGAGCTCTTCAGCCCCTGCAGCTGCATGAGTCAGGAAAAGCCTCCAGCTTGACGTTTGATCCAAGAAGTTAGGACTTGAGAGCTTCTATAAGTGTGTGAGCCATTTTCCTAAGATAAATTTCTCTCTCTCTCTCTCTCTCTCTCTCT